AAAGTAACAACGATAGGGATGACCCTGGTCATAAGTACACTGTGACAAGGACACACGCTACGGTTGATGGCTACCTCGCAGCCACGGACTCACCAGCTCATCCAAAGCTTAAACTCCATGTTCGAGGGATAGTGTACTTGATTTGTCACATTAAGTGGAAATCTCGTTCTCATAGCCGCTTTGCATTTAGCTATATGCAGACAAGTATTGCGAAGGCCATCGTGGAACAGCTCCCGGGTTGGCCGCAGCAGTGCGAGAGAACCGTCCTAAACGTCTCAAAATCTCCTTTCTCCGAATGAACGCCCGACCTCACATTGCAAAGATAACTCGCCACGTTTGAGGGAAACTGGCTGGACCACGATACCACATCCATCGTATAGCCCTGACATTACTCCATCGGGCTATCCCTTCACAGTTCCTTGAAGCAGCAGCGGCGAGAGAAAAACCCATGAATACAACCACCCAAAAACGACCTTCCCAGAATTCTTCAACTCCTAGCTTCGTTCATTCTGGAAGGAAAGCCTCTAGAAAATTCCTGGCGAATGGACACATATCAATGATTGTGATAATGGATCAATCTGTTTTTATTAAAGATAAAACTCAAAGAGAAGAAAGGGTCGAAATTCGAAAAGAAATAACGGGACAACCCAATATGTAATGGTTAGATTTTCATGGAATTTGTTCCTGAGGGATTGTTCGGATTGGAAATTGTTTGTAAAGGTAGTTCTGTCTAAAATATGAACAGTACATTGCGTTTAGCGTGAAGGTTGGCGCATTCTGGCGCCGCTGCTAGTGGCGCGCTCAATGGCTGCTATAAGTAAGCTATCAACAAATTCGGTAGCCCAGAGTACTTCAGCTCCGCTGGTAAATACGTGCGCCCCAAAGATGTGATATTGTGATCTACGAGTAGAAGATCTAGAATAAAACCTCCCTAGTGGACAAATCTCACCAAGTCTACACAGAAAAACAAAGTTTTTAGAGGACTTTGACAATTTTGCCGAAGGTAGGGGCAGTAAGGGAGTAAGCAACGTCAAAACAGCGAATTGAATCAAAATGCTTCTCCATGGACTTTACGAATAAAATGAACATGTTGTAGATAAAACGTGATGGCACTATTATAGATTGCACGGTTATTACCAATTATTTGATAACCCCAAAACTCGTGGGGATGGTTAGACGGGATAAGCAGGTAGATCTAATCCTGGGCGGTGACGGGCGTTGAACAGCGCTGCCAATGTTCTATCGAATTAAGTGTTACATTGAATTTAATTTAGGATCACGAAATTCGCCCTTCATCACAGATGTGATAGCTAGGTAATCTGATGTTTACAAAAGATTTACTATCACGCAATAGGAGGTGTAGAGGTGGTGATGAAAATAGTTTCGAAAAGTCATGAGGTGAATAGGTACGGCTATAGGATTGCCACGCATTTGTTCCAGGCTAAAGACGCAACCGCCGCGAATTGAGTCATCAGACAAGTGAGTGGAAAAGTAAATGGGTGTAATTGTGTCCACAACTCATTCTTATGAGTACAGTCAGCAAGATTAAACAAGCCGGAGGACAGAGTTCTGTCTGTGAGAGCATCCAAGTAGCAAAGAGTACGTTAACACGAAGCATCACTGTGGATGAAGCAGCCTTCTTGAACGGTCACAAAAAACAAAGTTCCCAACTTTACAACGAACTTCTCTCTAACCAGTGCGAGGGATAGCGATTTCATACGCGGTCATAGTGATGGCGCGGATTTATTGAAACTTAAGAAAAAAGGATGATACAGACTTATCTGCTACCACCGCTGTGATCATTTAGGCAGCGGCGGCGTCTGTCGGCAGAGAAAATTAGGAAGCGAAAACTACAAAGGGCCAGCAACGAGCTTCCCTACAGAACCAGTGATCTACAACGAACTGAATTATCGAAACTTTGCAGAAGCAATGATGGTTGACCTGGATGGGAGGGCCTCTGAAGGCGAACAAAGCTGCCGACGAACACTTATTCTCTTGGTGAGGGATATGTACGAGGGAGCCAACGGAACTATACGCACCCCATACGGCTAGAAAGAGGTGGGACATCACGTCCGGCGGGGGGGGGGGGCTGCACCAAGGGCGCTGGTGTGAGCGCGTGGGGTACTCTTTCCTCCTTACAATTAGATGGCGCGTGGTGTGAGGGGGTTGGGGGGGGGTGCGTTCAGGACTGGGAGGGAGCGGAGTGGTATAAACTGGGGTGGGGTCCTCTGATGAGTGGGGGTGGCTTGAGACGGTGGCGGTCGCCGTACAGCTGACTGAAGACGGGCAGGGGTGGGGAGGGGTGGGTTTCACGCAGGGGGTGGGGTGTCGACAAAAAATGGCCGGGGGCAGAGACTGTCTTGACAAGGAAGCGCGGGGGTGGGGAGCGGAGTGTGGATGGTCAAAAGACATATTGCCTGGGGCTCCAGATGGGGGCGGTGTGGCAGAGCCGCATCGTGGGGGTGGTCAGTGGGGGAACGAGAAGGGGTGGGCAGGGACCCGGATTCCGACTACTTCTCAACTAAGCTGGCAGAGATGAGAAGCAAAGTGATGAAGAAACTGGAACTCTCCAAGGCTAAGAAGGCTGAAATTGACAGGAAGCTCAAGGTTGTTGCCCTCATACAACTAACGATAAGACAGTTGCTGCATATGGCAATCATTTATAAAAATATTATTCAAGGAAATCGCAGCTAGAGTGGACAACACCGTTGAAAACTTGAAGGACACCATATTCGAAATCAACGCTGCTAAGAATGTTGGCAAAGCCCTCTTCCAGAGTGACATTCTGCTGACAAAGTGGGTGGCTCGTTTTGTTTCAGCATACATGATGTTTTGTGGAACAATAGCTTCCAGGAGGCAAGTTGAAGAATTTATGGAAGGTCTCGAGGGAGGCCGAGCTAAGAGACAAGCGTTTAAGGATGAAAATTACCCAAAAACTACTTGGCAGCAAGGAGTCTTCTACCGCTTCGACAACAGCACAGGTGTGTTTCAGACGTGCCTGGTTTTGGAAGCTCCGTAATCTGAAAGATCCATAGCCTCTGAAAAATTGAAATTTCAGACTATCTCACTAGGAGAATGTTCGAGATGGGAGCTAAACAATGGGAAGAAGCAACATGCGTCGACTTCAAAGAAGATAAGGACGGAGAAGGTTGAAATATTGAGCAAGCAACGGTTGCCAATAAGATGACAATCATTTACGATTTTAGCCGAAAACAGTCTCATACTTATCAAAGAAGATGGATGTTGGTCGTTCGTGGGTCGTCACGGTGGTGAGCAACCCCTTTCGCTCGGCAAGGCTGCGAAGAGGTACGACTTCGTTAAGATTATTCACTTTACACCCCAGCAGCGCCCTTCAAGTACCTTCAATTCATAATCGTGCTTCTTGGATCGTGAAATCGCTTCAGATCGGAATCGCTACACACGAAATTGGCCACGCCCTTGGACTTTTCCATACCATGTCGCGCTACGACCGAGATGATTTCATTACAATTGTGTTTGAAACGTTGAGGTAGGTCCATCCCTTCCCCTCCTCGAAGGGCAACGGAG